CAGACTGCAGTAACAAGCTGATGATGACAGGATTTAACAAAATCAACCACTTGAACTAAATCCTTGTGCCAAGGTTTACTTAGTGACATACTGACATGAGGCAAAGATCATGTCTAAAGGACTAACCAGAGAAAGATTACAGCGACTTTTTCACAAAAGAGAAATAAACACTACCAATAAGAAGCATTTAAGCAACTACATGGAACTCACTCTCTCTTAGTACTACACGACACAACATATATGGATCTAGCTGCGAGGGACAGTGCCATGGACGACACCCACCATATGCTCGATCAAATGACTACAAGGTTTAGCTCTCTTTAGCGGACAGTTATACTTTGCATATGAAGGGCTTCTTTAACTGATAGAAAACTTTGGTCTTTGATTCATTAGAATCTACTAAACCATACCTGTCACAGTGAAGAAGATAAGAATCTTTTGTAAACGAAGACATGATTTTTAGAGGCCTCAGAAACATAGCAATCATCATTTGTTCATCAACTTGGAGCGTCAAGGCATGGTGTTAACTGATGGCCAAAAAAGGCATGGTGCTAATTGGTTTACCCTCGAAACTGTATGATATCAGTAACATAACACTCATGCCCAAAGACCTCACAAGCGAGCGAACATCAGATCATATCATTGAGCAATGCACATGTAATTTTCATCACAGGCTCAAGAAGGAAACAATAGCAAGGCGAGAGGGACGACTGCTTGTATTGGAAGCTGTGTTGCTGAGGTGGACCAATCAGATAAGACGAAGATGATGCGGTGCTGGCATGGACCAATCGCAGTTCTAGGGGCGACGTGTACCAACTCGCTACCCAGGGAGGCCTTCCCGAATAGAGGGCTCAGAAACATAGCAATGATCATCATTTGTTCATCAACTTGGAGCCTCAAGGCATGGTGATAACTGGTTGACCCTCAGAAATTGCATCATATAAGTAACACCCATGCCGAGTATCTCACAAGCGAACGAACATCAGATCATATCATTGAGCAATGCATATGGAATTTTCATCACAGGCTCAAGAAGGGAAAAAATAGCAAACGACAGACGCTAAGATCATCTGATCATAACCAAATCTCGGTTTAGAATCAGAAGGTTGACCACGGTAGGGGAGCTAGGCAACGTGACCCCAAAATCGCCTCTAAAATCAGAAAGGATGTGATTTTGCGGCCATAATTTGGCCGCTAACCAGAAATCTGGAATTTGAATGGCACTTAAGCTAACATGGACTAAATTTCACAAAATTAGAACTGCATAGAACCACGGCAGAATTACCTCTGGGAACTGCATTTTAATATTTTATCATATTCTTTAGAGGTAATAATGCAGGATCTTAACTATTGTATGCAATTTCCAAGCAGGTTGTAGCTAAGAATCCCTCTCTGCACCTACCATGGGTTCTTACAAATCCCTTTACATGTTGGAAATCACCAACATATAAGAAAAAAAGAGCACTGCAGGGGATTCTATCATATTGCTATTAAACTTACGTAGTCATAACCAAAGATAACTACTAAGAAATGAAAGCGGCATTAGTTGACGACAAATAATTTCGCAGACAACCAAAGCAGCATTAGTATGCACAAAAAAAAATTAACAGCCATGTAACAAAGGTTCTGAACATGCTGAATCGTATCTCAGAAGGATGCATGAATACACGCACCTCTTGTCGACTGGGCATGCTTGACAGAGTGTACCAAATCAGGAACCTGCAACAAACAAATTGAGGTACATCTAAAAAAATACAGAGGCATAAAATCAAACTACAGCCATAGGAGGACCTCAGCTAGGTGCACACGCCACAGGGAGTGAAAGGAGACGGGGGCGGGTTCGGCGTGGCAGAGAGAGAGAGAGAGAGAGAGAGAGAGAGAGTCGGGGGCGGGGTTCGGCGCTAGGAGCTCCCAACCTAGGGTTTCTGTAGAGCATATGAACGCCTGCTGGCTAGAGGAGGATGCGGCGCTGGGGCGTGCACGCCATGTTGGCGGGCACCACCAGCCAGGCCCGGTCCACGCCAAGCCGTGTGGCCGGGGACAGCCACTGTCAGCGGCCACGCCAATGCCTGTGCCGCGGCAGGGCCGGGAGCGGTGAGCCGACGGGCACTTGCCCGGCCGGCATGCCGTGGGGAGGCGGAGGAGGAGGAGGACGAGGCGACCAGCCCAAGGCCACTTGGCGCCATGTGCTGGCGCCCTGGCCGCTGCCGGGAGGGATCGGGAGAGGGAGGGAGCGGACGAGAGAGAGCGAGGAAGTGGAAGGAGAAGCAGAGGTTTGGGGAAGGGAAATCAGAAGCTGGATATTATGTTTGTTTCGCTGGATTCTGAGAAGAATCCGTAGAAGGTAAATAAGAGCGCGAAGAACTCGAAGAAGCCGGAGAGGACGACGGGAAGCTGCTCCGGACGAGAATCAGATTCAAGAGATCTGGGCCATCGATTCGAAAATCCGACAGAGGAAAAAATTTCTGCCGACGTGGACAGGGCTCCTGTCGGAGGAGCATGTCCGGCTTGTCTAGGTAAATTATTATACTGTGATACAGCTGAGATAGCAACTTTAGTTTGAAACTACTAAAATAATTTTGAGACACCAAATGATCTCAAATGAAAATTTGATAAACACCAAAGTTGTAGAGGTCATGAAGATCTACAACTTTTATTTTGGTCATCTTGTCATTTGACAAAATTTGAACCTTTCAAATTTAAAATTTTAAAAAATGACAAGTTTGAACCAAAATTTGAGACCCACAATGATTTCAACATAAAAAGTGATGAATACCAAAGTTGTTCAACTCATTAATATATACAACTTTTATTTTAGTCATCTTGTCATTTGACAAAATTTGAACATTTCAAATTTGAAATTTTGAAAAACGACAAGTTCGAACCAAAATTTGAGACCCAAATTGATTTCAACATAAAAAGTGATGAATACCAAAGTTGTTCAACTCATTAATATCTACAACTTTTATTTTAGTCATCTTGTCATTTGACAAAATTTGAACCTTTCAAATTTGAATTTTTGGAAAACGACAAGTTCGAACCAAAATTTGAGATCCAAATTGATTTCAACATAAAAAGTGATGAATACCAAAGTTGTTCAACTCATGAAGATCTACAACTTTTATTTTGGTCATTTCTTCATTTGACAAATTTTTAACATACATTGTTCACTAATCTTACACATGTCTCATATAGTTTATAAAACCATATGAGAGATGTGTCACATTTGTGAACAATGTCACTACCACTTTGTCATATGAAGAAATGACCAATACAAAAGTTGTAGATCTTGATGAGTTATTCAACTTTGGTATTTATCACTTTTTCAGCTGAAATCATTTGGGGTACCAAAATCTTGTCTGAAGTTGCATTTTTTTGAAATTCAAAATTTAAATTGCTCAAACTTTTCATATGTATATATTGATAAAACCAACAAAATAAATTGATAGAGAATGATTTTAGAAAATTTTAGGAAAAAAAATCATCAGATTTAGAGTTAGTATGAGGAAGAAAAACTAGTTACAAATTTGACCCACAGATTAAAAAAAGAAATCACACTGTTCAATATGATCATGTAAGGATCATCTAGAACAGTGTGATTTCTCTTTTTAATCTGTGGGTAAACTTTGTAATTAGTTGTTCTCCCTTATACTAACTCCAAATATGATGGTTTTTTTTCTAAAAGTTTCTAAAATCATGCTTCAGCATTTAAGTTTGATCAAACTTGGATGTGACAATGTTTTACACATCTTAAAATTTGAAATTTGAAATTTGACAAGTTAAAACTAAATTTTAAAACCATAAATGATTTCAGATGTAAAAGTGATGAATACAAAAGTTGTTCAACTCATCAATATCTACAACTTTTATTTTGGTTATCTTGTTATTTGACTAAATTTGAACCTTTCAAATTTTGAATTTTTTAAAAAGACAAATGAGCACTGCAGGGGCGGCCGGTGATTGAGCCACCCCTACAGATCAACCCCAACTGTAGGGGCGGCTCAGGTTACCAGCCGCCCTCTGACAGTCTCTGTCAGAAGGCGCGGTCATGGGCTCAGTGGGGCCCGAGGCATTTGACCGAGAGGCGCCCCAACCCCAAATTACCCCCTCTACAAGAAAAAATGCCCCTGCTCCTACAAAGAAGAATTTGGCGTAGTGACATGATGTTTCGTTACTAGCTATAATTTGCCACACTTCATCTTAGTCAAATTTGATCAAGTTGTCAACTGTTTGGTAGTAGGGAACTAAAACTTTTTGGACTTGACTTGTTATAAAGTAACAAAGTGTGACAAGATTTCTTTAAGCATGACAAAACCGTGGCTCTTAGAAGCTGTTAGGTTTCACAGCCATAATTTACCACAACTAAACTTAGTTAAGTGCGGTAAGCCTCAAACAGCATGGCTAGAAAATTTGAATCCACACTTGCCATGTCTAATAAATTTTGCTACAATTTTTTGCTAATTTGATCAAACTTATCTAAAATAAAATATGGTGAAGTGTGTCTAGCAAACAAACATTCCCAAATTTCTATTCACATTTTTTATGATTTGCCACACTTGTCCAAGTTAACCTGTGGTGGCAAATAATGGCCGGCAAGAATGAATCAAACAGCCCTTGTGAGGAGCTACTGCTGTCCAGTCCAGAGGCAAATCTCGCTGAAAGGCATGCGCTCCTAGTCACGTTTACTATTCATAGTCTACTACTAACTGATGACTCCAGGAAAATCAGATCGAGATAACCTTCGCTTTACGGTGCATGCACGCCGTGGCTGGCAGCAATCCTACGAAGCATATATATATATACGGTCGTCAGTCGTCAGCACGCACAGCTTGACCATAGCTTGAATTGCTTGTGGTTTCGTGTTAGGTAGCTCTGCTCAATAACGCGCGTATAAATAAAGAGTGTTGCCCGCTGGAACAATGGCCACGCCACGGCAACAACGAACAACAGGTCAATCAATCAATATATGGCCGCCTTCGATCGGCTCACATCACATGGCGATGGCGAGCAGATCAGTAACCGGAACGGCGGTGCTGTGCTTTCTTGTGGTCTCTCTCCTTCTGGCGTCGTCGTCGTTCGTTGCTGGAACTGGAACTGAAGCAGCGGCGGACTACGGTACGTAGACGCGGTGTACAGTCCCTCAGCTTTCACCGAACACAGCTTATGATCTAAACGCTGCTGCATCTATATATTCTTATGATCTGAATAAATGTATCGATCGTGCCCTCGTGCAGGTGCAGGCAGGAAGATGAAGCAGACAGCTGCGGGAGCTGTGGCACCTGGCAACGACGAAGCAGGATACCTACGGCTACGGCTACCCTGAAACTAATCAATTACCACCGGGATACCCGACGGCGCCTGGAATGAATTAGTAGTTGCCTCTCTTGATCTCACGGCTAGCTGCCGCGGTCGGTGTAGAGAACCCCTGCATGCTGCAGCTATACCTTACATCATGTGCATGATGCAGAATTACCATTTCTGAATACAGATGCAGAAATTAGCTAGCTTTTATACAATCCAGCCCCATGTCATGAGTGATGATGTCTCGCACTCTCGCTGCGTAATTAGCAGCTACGCGCGTGCCGGTTACACTGTACTATTCTGCAACTGTGTGTATGCTTATTGTTTCAAATAAAGACCTGCTTGGGGCACCCGGCACCAATATTCTCAATCTTCTGAAATTATCCTTGTCTTTTCGTGAAATCCTGAAAGTTTATTAAGTCACTTAACTGAGTGGTCCAAAAGTTTTTTTTTTTTGAACTGGGGTCCAAAAGTTTATATTAGGATATTTTTGTTCCTGTGCTTGCCGAAACGGATCAGCTAGCTAACTCAGTCCACTGTGTTGGTATGTAAAGGGCAAAGTCGGTTGCTAGGACGTGGTTAGTGGTTGCGCAGCCCATTTAATTTAGGCCCAAGTGCAGCATGGAGGAGGGCCACTGCCCACTGGCCAGGAGTCCAGACTCCGGACGTGCGTTTGTTTACCTGTTCTTCTCATTCCGTCGTTAGGCATGGCCGCCGCACAGAGGGAGCCTGGCAGTCCGTCGTAGAGGGGGTTTATCGCCAGTCGTGCTACAATGCAAGTGAACTTCATGATGAGTGTCGTGTATAAGATCTTCACATATTGACATAGGAGTAACTACTTTCTGGGAGTAGAAAATAATTTCCATATATATATATATATATATATATATATATATATATATATATATATATATATATATATATATATATATATATATATATGACAAATAATAAGATATACTATTGACAATATTTCTTGTCCAAAAAATTGTAGACACCCAACTGAAGCTGATCAAAGAAGCCATGATGTCAGTTTGGCCAATCAATTTATCGTAGAACGGTGGTACTACTTGGCAAGTATGGCAACGGTGGTCTAATAATACGATTATCTTAGACCAATGATTATTTGTACTATAATTTTACTGCACTAATCAAGATTCGGTGTTTTTGTTTCTTCACATAAAAACTTGAATTATAAATTTAGAATCCAATTGTTAATAATTTGTGAAAAACTCATGTACAATTGATGATAGGCTACAAACGAAATGTTGCAAACATTTTTTTTCTCTTGAATACGCAAGAGCATTACGTATCATTGTATTAAATACAAGAGAGGTCATTCCTGAACGGCAGTTACCGCGGTGGGGTTACATTTTGACTATTACACTGGGATCAACCTTAACTACGATCTAGCTAAAGCTTTCAGTCCGCGCGGGCCTATGCCGCCGTGGCCGAAGGCCGACGAGCTGCTCTACCGGTCATCACTTTGGATGCTGGGAACAGCTCATCAAGAGACACGACGTTTGCTACTAAGAGGGTGCCCTAGAAGTACGATTCTTACGACCGCTTGGCCGCGGAGGATGTTGGTGCTAATGGCGCCAGGATCCCCATCTTCTTCACGAGCAGTACTTCACCATGCTTGGACACCGGGATGTGGTCCATCTGCTAAACAACGATCCATCTGCTCCTAATGGGCATGTTGGTCCGCTTTGGTATCAGCTTCTTCTTTGGGCGGGGAGTTGATGAGAGGTGGCTGCCTCTTTCCCAGGAACTCCTCGGTGAACCTGGCCAGTCGCTTGGCGGCCTCCTTCGGTGTGGGCGTGTCCTCAGTGCTCAACACTTGAGCTCCTCCATTTTGCGGCATCTGCGTGTGGCTGGGGTGTCATGTAAGGCAGCCCGATATCGGCTGTTGCCTGCACACAACCCATTGTGGTGCCATCGTCTGCCTCTTGCAGACCGGCAGCCATGCACTGAGGACGCGTTTGGTTACCTACATACGTCGCGGACAGGCTCTACGGATGCGCAGGTCCGAGCGTTTGGTTGGCTGGTTGGAGGTTGGGGCCTGTCCCATGCGGTGCAAGATTCCCTCGTGAGCCAGGCTCAACTCATACGCCAAAAATCCTTGTTCCTCCCCGACCAGGCTCGCGCGAGCGCAACAAGCATGCAAACGGGATATGTCAGTGAGATAGCCGATGCTAGCATGCAGTGAACCAAACGAAATCTCCAAACAGCCAGGCTTTGTGAGTACGATAACCGAACACCGGCCATGTGCATGCGCTCGGCCTGGCTACCAGGCGTAAAGCCTGGCTCATCTGAGAAGCTAACCAAACGCGCCCTGAGTCGTCATTGGGAGTCGTCATTGAGGACCACCTCCCCGTCCTCAGGCTGCACCGGCTCTCCTGGGACGTAGCTGGTAGGCCCTTGCTTTCCTTGATGTGCACCGAGCAGCTCTGCCTCCAGGATCATTGAATCCAAGGCCAACTGTCCTCCGGCGTTGTCTTTGTCTAGGGTATAGTTGTTCTTGTAGCCCGAGGCACGACGGCACGGCACGAAGCCCGCTTTTTTAGCCCGACACCAGCACGGCACGGCCCGGCGACATGCGGGCCCGGGCTGGCCCGACCCGAGGGAGCAGGCCGTGCATGGGCCACCGCCGTGCCCGTGTGGGCACGGCACGGCCTTGCGGCAGCGTCTGCCCCCCCCTCCTCTCCCAGCGCCCAGCAAGGCCGGCCCCAAGCGTCCCGCCCCCCTCCTCATATGGCCCCATGGCCCACGCAGCCACAGCACGCTCCCACCCCCGACCGAACCCTAACCCCACCGCCTACCCTCTCCCTCCCCCGCCGCCGCACTCTGCTCTCTCTCGTCTCGGCTCTCGCCCAGTCCCTCGCCTCGCCTCCTCCCCGCTCTCGCTCGCTCCCTCTCTTCTTCGTGACTCGCCGGCGGGGTGCGCCGCCGCGGGCTCCTCTCCTCCTGCCGCCACCTCCCAGTCCCCCACCTCCACTCCAACCCACCGCCGCACTACCTACCGCTCGCGGTCGCGGTCGCGAGTCGACGTCGCGACTCTCTCGCCACGTCGCCTCCCCACCCCACTCCCTCTCCCGCACGAGTGCACGACTCGCCTCCGCGGCCCCCAGCGGCGAGCCGCCGACGGTGGCTACCGCCGCCTCACCGCCCCGCACTGCCGCCGACGGTGGCCACCTCCTCCTAACCGCCACGCGCTGCTGCTCCTCCCTATGCCTCCTCTGCGCGGATACGACCTCGTTCTCCATGGATCCGGCCTCCTCATCGCTCATCCTCCGTGGATCCAGCCAAGTCGAGGTGCGGAGAGGTGAGGTCGCGTCGTCCACGGCCTTCGCAACGACGGCAGCCTGCCTGGCCTCCCTCTCTTTGGGTCTCTCTCTCTCTCTGTCGGTGACTCGGTCTAGTGGGCCTTGGGCCGGCCCGGCACGCTGGATTAACCGTGCTTCTTGGGCCGGCCCGGCACAAAAAACGGCCCAGCAGGCCATGCCTGGGCCGTCGGCCAGGCACGAAGCCCATGGCGGCACGGCCCGACCCCCATCGGGCCATGCCGGGCCGGGCCGGTCCGTTGGACATCTATGGTCCAGGGTGGTCTAGGGCGCCTGGTTCAAACTCGAAATGACAGGTCCCCCAATCTGGTGTCTTTCCACGCTGTGGCTCAGGCGCTATGACCGTGTTCGCGGCCGGCTCGGCGTCGACGACCCCCCTGCAGCCGTGGCCCAGGCCCGCTGGTGTCGCCATCATCGGAGGTCGGCGGCAAGGGTGGCGGTGAGTGGTCACCCCAGATGGAGTCCACGACACGCCAGACATGGATGGTTACCCGGTACGTGAAGGTGCCCTCATAAACGCTGGGGATGCTCCTAAAGCCGCGTGTTGCGTCAGCGGCGTAGACATCGGCACTGGCGTCCGCCACCAATGCAGTGACGGCGAGCCTCAGACCTCGTTCGGCGTCGTCGTCAATGGCGGTGCTCCGATGGATGAACGCACCTTCCAGTTGCCATTGGGCCTATTGGCCGATCGTTGACAGGTCTCGGCCTTCAGTGCTGGGACCGCCCATGCCAAACTACGGCGGGTTGATGGGTGGGGTGGAGCCCGCCGCCTGCGATCCTTCCGGCATCGTCTGCACCTTGACGGAACGGTGCTGGCTGGTGGTGCCGGTGCCGTCCCTGGCGTTCCCTGGTGAGCGGCGCCGCTTGCAATCTCTAGCAAGGTGCCGGAAGCCCCTGCACTAGAGACACCGCAGTGGCAGGTGGAAGGTGGAGAGCCTGTGAGTGTAGGTGAGGCAGTTTAGGCACTTGCCACGCAGTGCCTCTGGGATGCGCCGTCGTCGTGAAGGTCTGGGGGCCTGCACAGCGATGTCTCGCGGCCCCTCCAGGAGATTGGGCAGCACCTCCCTCCACCCTTCCGCGTCGGGACCTGAGATGCGGCGCCAGCCCCGTAGGGGCACTCGAGGTCCGAGACAGAGGTGAGCGGGGACGCGTGCGGCACCGTCACGGTGGCCACTATCGACTCGGTTTCCCAATCGGAGGTGGGCCGACAGGCGATCTTGCTCGCGGCGTGGATCTTTGCCGTCTCTGCGCGACCTCCTCCTTCGTGTTCTGCGGTGCCTGGGGCGCGGTGGACGGGCAGCATCCACCTCCGGCGCAGCCTCCACCGACCACTCTTCGACAACATGGGTGGTTGGCTGGGTGCTAGGACCTACCAAGTTGGTGTTCATCATCCATGTCGGAGAGCTCCAGCAGACGGCGTCGAGCTTGGAAGATGGTGGCGGTGGGGAGTCGGAGGAGTCGCAGTCGGAGTCAGAGTCCATCCAACGTAAGGTCTTGGGGCGACTGGGTGTTTCGCCAAGGTAGAATGATGGCGCGTGCGGCAAGAGAGTTGGGCCCTTACCAGCGGAGGCTGGGGAGGCCGCCGGTGCCTGGGTGGCGGCCGGTAGGCTGGGTGGGGGAGCAGGGTGGGTGGATTGAAGCTGCGGCGACGGGGAGGGGGTGGCGGCGCTGGACCTGGTGGTGGCGCATCCGAGGGAAGCAGGGGCTGCGTTGGTGAAGGGATTTGGGGGCGCAGAGGGAGCAAGGAGGGGAAGGGTGCCTCCGGCGCTAGGCTGACGGCCGGCAGTGGGGAGGGGGCGGCGGCTCCGGATCTGGCGGCGGCGCATCTGGGTAAGGCTGGGTTTGTGGAGGTGCACGGATCTGCTGGCGTAGAGGAAGCAGGGAGGAGAAGGGAGGGGAGGGGAGAGCCAGCGGCGCCGGGCTAGAAGCCGGCAGCGACGCCGGATCTGGCGGCGGCGCAACTGGGGGAGGCTGGGGCTGAGGTGGGATCTGCAGGCGTAGAGGGAGCAGGGAGGGGAGGGGGGCAGCCAGCGCCAGGCTGGAGGCCGGGAGTAGGGGGGCGGGGGCGGCCGCTAGGGGTTGCGCCGCCTAGGGTTCGCTCCCACCGAGCAGATTTTGATCCCCCAATTCTACAAGTTCAGAATGTCGCAAACATAGCGCTAAAAAGTATCGTTTTTTAACAATACAACACGCATTCAAACTTGAATTATCATGTCATTATTTTTTCTATTGTAACGCACGAGCATGATCGAGTAATAAAAACAATGTTTTCGATGGCCTGTTGGTTCAGTATTATTTTTTACTGTCTCTCTTTTCGATGTGTCACGTGAACCCCACCTTTCTAAGATAACCCTAAGCAAAACGCGCATAGTTGCCTTCTTAGTAACACCATGTAAAATACTTAAATGATAATCTATCGTTACGAAAAGAAGTGGTGCTACTGTTTTTACTTCTTCCTCAAAGCTCTCTTACAAATAACAGAGAAAAGCATCGGTACACACAAACTTTGTACCTTTTAGCAGGATAACACATTTTTTTTTCATTTTAATGAAGAGAAAATACATAGTTGCAATGAAAGCAAAGTTCTAATGAAAACAAATTTTGTGTTGAAATGTCCTCAGCTTTGGAGTTCTAATGGAAACACATTCCTTGATCAACAGTGTATTTTTTAGGAAATATTGCCAATGTTGGGTACACCAAGCCAGGTTCAGTTTGGCAGCATGCTGTGAGTCTGAAATGCAGCAATAGAGTGCAACATGTCCCCTAACAGTAATATATATTATTACTTAATTGTTTGCCCTTGGTAGGTTTGCGAGATAGCAGCTCCTTATCTTGCGCATCTCGGCTGCAGCATCACTCATGGGCTTTCTCTCTGATGGTGTTAGCTTGGTGCAGGACAGCGCAAGTTTACTGACAGAAGTAATGGCATTTTCAATCTCTTCCCCTCCATTGCTTCTGTGTTGTGGCTTTCTTGCATACGTCTCATCAGTGGACAGCAGTACTGGATCAATTATGTCCATCAGCTTCTCTGGAAATGCTATCTCAACAAAGCCCTGTAAGGTCAATCCATCCACAAACATGGCATCGGTTGGGGCCTTCCCTGTAAACATCTCAAGGAGCAGAACTCCAAAGCTGAAGACATCTCCACACAAGGAGACCTGACCGCCTTCCCCATATTCTAAAGTGCAAGAACAAGAAAAAATGTCAATATGCTCTATGGAGTACCTGTAAGAGAATGATGCAGTTACATATTTTCAGTTACCTGGTGCCACATATCCAACTGTTCCTCTTATTCCGGTGAAGGTATTCGAATTGATCACAGGATCACCTTCTGAATCAGAAAGAATCTTTGCAATGCCAAAATCTCCAACACAGGCAACAAAGTCCACATTCAAAAGAATATTGCTTGGCTTCAGGTCACAGTGGACTATCGGGGGCTCGCAATTGTTATGCAAATAGTCCATAGCATCGGCAACATTGACAGCAATGTTCAATCTTTGCAGTAGTGTCAGGCCTGGTATAGGTCTGGACACATCTGAATCAGGATTAAGGTAATGTAGCCACTTGTCAAGGCTTTGGTTTGGCATGAACTCGAACACAATGGCTTTGAAATTATTCTGTTTCGAGTCAGAACTAGAGCAGCAGGTTATGACGCTGATCAAGTTGCGATGGCGGATCTTACTAAGAGCTCCACACTCAACTACAAAGCTTTTGGAAGAACCTGACTGCTGCAGATCAAAAACCTTAACAGCTACTTCAGTTTCAACGTTTTTCAGTGACAATGTGCCCTTATATACGGACCCATATCTTCCTCTTCCAATCAAATTGCTACCAGAAAAGCCATTAGTGCCTTGGAACAGCTCAGCATAAGAAACTTTAGGATATTTATCATCCAAGAAAGAGATGGCTGCTCCTGCCATTGTTGTAGCATGAGGTCCTTTTTTCCTTCTCCAATAAAAGGAGAGAAGTACCAATATCACACAAAAAAGGCTCCCAGTAGAGATTATAATTATGAGAACTACATGACGTTTCATGTCCCTATGCTTCCTGGAATGAACTGGACAAGCAGGCAAATGTAGTTCCTGCAGACCACCACACAGCTCATTGTTACCAACAAACAAGAACCCTGTCGATTTGGCAAACACGCCTTGCATAGGAACTAGGCCACTGAGATGGTTGAAAGAAATGTCAAGTTGGGACAAGGAGGTCATATTTTGCAAGGTCATCGGAATTTGCCCAGACAAGTTGTTGTGTGCAAGATACAGTTCTTCCAAGCCCTTCATGCGTCCAAATTCTTGAGGAATTGCACCCGACAAGAAATTCTCTGTCAAATTCAGAACTACCAAACCATACATTTCACTAATAGATGTAGGGAGGCTTCCGCTAAAGGAGTTATCATCCAAATGGAGCTCGAGCAAGCTTTGGCAGTTGCTGAGGGTGTCCGGTAGTGAACCAGATAGATTATTTCTGGAGATATTTAAATACACAAGCTTAGTAAGACTACCAACTTCAGGTGGAAGGGGGCTGTTGAAATGATTGTCGGACAAATCAAGGATGTAGGACAGAGACGAAAGGTTAAAAATTTCTTTGGGAATTGGACCTGCAAATGCATTGCGCGAGAGGGTTGCGACGCTCAACATCTGCAGGTTGCTAATGCTAGAAGGAAGAGATCCCTCAAGATTGTTGTTGTCCATAGTGATTATCTGAAGCAGTGTTAGATTACCGATTGAGGGTGGAATTGTCCCCGACAGCATGTTGCCATCGATTCCCAAAGCCCGCATCATTTTCAGACGATAAATTGTGCTTGGCAGAACACCGCTGAAATGGTTGTGGCTGAGGAAAAGCTTCTGCAAGTTTACAAGATTACCAATGCCAGGAGGTATATTCCCATAGATCTCGTTGAATCCAGTGTAAAGCACCTGCAGATGTGTCGATGATAAGTTTCCGACAGAGGCTGGCAACTGACCCGCAAGCATATTGTTCCGGAAGCTAAGCACACGTAGCCAGGTGCAGTTGGTCAAGAGCGTGACGAACTCCCAGCCCTCCATGGTGCTTGCCTCAATTTGGTTTGAGTCAAAGGAAAAAATGCTTGGGCAAAGTGTTCCTATCTCCGGTGGCATCCTTCCAGTGAAATTGTTGAGACCCAGGTCTATGGTATCAATCATGGTTGCATTGGCAAGGGAGGCCGGAACATTCCCTGTGAAGTGATTCACTGCGAGGTAGATGAACTCAAGGTTTGGTTGGTTGTTTCCCCAGTTGGATGGCAGTGTACCATGCAGATCATTTTGATCCACACCGAATCCAATCACTGATGATAGGTTGAACACAGCTTCCGGGACCTCACCCGAGAGGTGGTTCGCAAGCAATGCAAACCACTGGAGGTTCTTGAGCCTTCCAAGCTCTTTTGGGATGGAACCCTCAAGCTGGTTATACTGGAGATATAACACCTGCAGGTATGTGAGATTGCCCAGGGATGGCGGGATGCTGCCGGTCAAATTGTTCTTTGACAAGATCAAAGCCACAAGCTTTGGAAAACCACCAAGCCAAGAGGGGATTTCCCCGGTAAGATGGTTCTTGTCAAGAATGATGTTTACAAGACCAGTGCAGTTGCTTAACCCGTCAGTGATTCCACCATGAAGTGAGTTTCCAGTGAAAATCAGATACTGCAACTGCCAAAGGCGGCCAATGGTAGACGGAATCTCGCCCTGCAGCTTATTTGAGCTAAGGTCAAGGATCTTCAAGAATGTTAAGTTTCCGATGGCAGGGGAAATGGTGCCAACAAGGCCCGCCGACGATAGATTCAGAGCTGACACCCTGCCCTTGTGCCTCAGGCTGCAGGTAACCCCAGTCCAGTGGCAGAAATCACTAGTTGTGTTCCATGAGACAAGTGCGGGCGACTGCTGGCTCAGGCTTGCCTTGAACTGGAGCAGGGCGTCCCTGTCAGTAGCAGTCTCATTGCTGAATGGTGACGTCCATTCTTGAGCAAATGAAGTTGGCATCGGTTGGAGGACATAAGGTAACAGCAGCAAAAGAATTGCCGGCGACATTGATATACACACCTTGCATAGGCACGAACAAGCATTAAAAGTGCAGAAAACAGATTCGTGGACAGAAAACAAACTCCTTTAAAATGTCATACAGTTCTACATGAGTGGGGGCAACTATTAAAATCGTTGTGTTATCATACAGCCTTCTATGCCATCCATTCCGAATTGTAGTTAAGTTTAGCTTTGTGACTTTGTCCTTTGACAAATATCCACAGATTCTAAGAACAAATCTCGATAAAATTTTGCACATATTTCAGACATGAGCAAATTTTGACAAATTTTTTTTTGATGCATTACGACACTACTTGCATAGTATATCGAAGTATCCAAACTATGAATGGCAACACCATATCCAAATCAAATCAGGGCATGTTTGATACACATGACTAGTTACTAGTTGGGCTAAAAATTAGACCAAATTAGCTATGGTTGGCTAACAACTAGTTGGAGACTTGGCTAAAAAAGTAGCCCACCTATTAGCCCTCTTGTTTGGATGCACTAGAGCTAATTTGAGCTAAAATTAGCTAGCTAACAATTAGCACAACATGCCCTTAGATTATGTCCAGAATTTGTTTGTACCCACACACATGGTTGTACCAGGCCTCCAAAACTTTGGCTCCCAATCCGGCAAGCTGAAAAATGACCAAACTCTAACAACAGGTTTAAAATCTTTGTAATTTGGGCAACAATCAAAGCATTAGCTAAATCGTCCTAAAGACCGAAGTTAATTCATCCTTGCAAACCGGATCTAACTGAAGCACATGACATCTCAGGATAGACACAGTCACATGAACTGGGATAACTTACGTAGCCTCTTCAAATCAGAACATGACAGTATGGCAACACCATGGCTATGGCTCAAGTGCTCCAATCCTCCAACTGACCCCCCCTCCGCACCTGGTCCCATACTCTCATGTATGGCCTCCTCGCCCGCCCGCTGAGCACCCTGCTCGCCGGCTGGCCGCACCTCATGCCCTTGTCGCCGCCCGGCTGCAGGGGCCCCGACGCCCTACCGCACGCCCGCCGGCCCACGTCACGCTCACGCCTGGCCCTGGCTCCAAGCCCGCTCCAGCCGGCAGCAGGACCCCACGCCGCGCCTGCCGCCCCACCCACATCGCATCTGGCGCAGCCGACGCCGCAGTGGCCGAGGCGCGCCTACTGTGCTGTGGTCATACTGGCACGCCGCCGCAGCGCCGCACCGCCCCTCTCTGCTAGCTAACACGCAAGGGTTTGCCTGGAGGCTAGATAACGAGCAAGGACACTGTTCTTCGAGTTTTTTTTTTCTTTCAAAATTGACATAGTATTATTTATTAGGGTCTCCTGAATTATTCGATATCCAACTTCAAATCAAGCTTAACGAGCCAAGCCGAAGTTGAAAGTCACTAACTCATTTGTATTTTAAAAGAAAAATAAGTTTGATTGGAGCATTTACGAATTGAGTCACCAAGCTGGCTCAACAAGCTTTTTCTCCTCATTTATGGTTTGGATGCCCCCCTTCTATTTTAAAATGTAATTAAGGTAACAAAAAAATTGTAAAGTTGCAAAGGTGAATCGGACGACAACAACACCAATCTCGCTTATAAAAATACCAGGTGTACTTGCCCCAACAACAAGAAGCATGAAGATGAAACAAACAAATTATAGTCATGGGATTCAAATGACAAGAAAAATTCGGACCTGACCGAAACAGACGAATTTCAGAAATTTCGGTACTTTCGGACCAGGATTCACTCGTTTTGAGCAGTCAAAGTATTTAGATTTAGCTAATATTTAAATAAATCTTGGTCAAAATTTGATCAAGAAGCATGAAACAAACAAATTATAGCTTGGTAACTTTGCAATTAGATCAAAATTGACATAAGAGCTTATAGGCATATTTAAACTCTAGACTTGACTAAAAATTTGAATTCAACTGAAATTTTTTGACCAGTATGATGTTGTTTTGGAGCTCACCGAAATGAGTGAATTTCACCGAAATTCGGTCAGGTGAATCCTAGAACCTTAACAACTAGCCTTATCCCATTAAAAGAAGAACTCCAAATTAGTTTATAGATAGAGTACCTTACGGCGCACAATAAACCTCCAGAAATGCCAACACCAGATGAAACATGGAACGAGACTGTCTGCTGATGATTCCCAAGTCCTAACCACGGACGCGAATACTATACTGGTCAGGTTCTCTCTTTGTGTGTTTTGCATTTGTGTGTGATTCCATCTATACCACCGCTCTACGTTTATTTATATATAATATGCTGGTATAAGACGCCTGGTTCAGTTATTGAACAGGCCAAGATGATTGTTCCGATTCCAATACAATAGTAGTCGTATATGTATGAACGCCTGTACAACAATTTCCACTTGACTTCCAAGTCTCCCTTGACGTTTCTGCAAGAGTCCACCGTCCAGTCTAGATAACCTGAGCAGGACGTCCCCCGTTCGACGTGAGTGGAGTGGAAAGCACGTTACGGTACGGTTCGTGTGGAAATTCACACAACTATGAATAAGCACCGCTCCACCATTGTACTTGGACACGATCAAGTCCAAATGCGACATCTTTGTCACGAAACAAAAGAAATTAAATACATATTCTAATTGTTGTGGTAACCGCACCGCTTCACTGCCAGTTCTGAGCTTGAAAATGAGAAAATGATTGAGACTGGGCTAAAACCGACAGTGAATAACCACATCACTGCTGGTTTATGGCTTGCACTGGCAGTGAGTTGGCGGCCACTTATCAGTGCCGGTTCTAACCATGAACCGATAGTGATTTGGTGCTATCACTGTCGGTTCTAACCAAGAACCGATGGTGATAAAATGACAGTATAAAAAGCTGGTGCCGTCCTCTCCTTCCTCCTCTCTTTCATCCCAAGCACACAAGCGCGTGTTTGGGTCGCTCCCTCCATTGTTATGGACGCTCTTCACCGTGAAGATAGCTCTTGCATTTGAAAGAATGGCTTGATCTTTTTGCTTTAAGTTTAGGAACAAGCATCCACTCCTTTGATTTTCTCGCTTAATTAGCATTGTTTTGATGGCTACAATGCTTGATTCTCATTCTAGTTCTTTCTCCATTATAGAGAGCACTTTTTCAATTGGACTTTATGCAAGGCTTTCAAGCAAATTGTGGTGAATCCATCGTCCAAAAGGTTGGTGTCTATGAACACATTTAAATTCGTAGCTAATTATTACATGGTGGTCAAGATCGTCATTGTTAGTATGTGTGTTGGTATTTCTTAACGTATATAGAAATAATCCACAAGCGCACGGAATTACCGTTGTAGCATTTCACCCAAAAGTTTTCAGGGTATCGTATTTCCACGAGGAACGGATGTGTAAAATTCTCTTAGCTAAATCACCTAAGGTACTAAAAAGAAGGATAGCTCGGGTAGTGAGGTTTTCTAGGGATAAAGATTCTAAGATAAGATAGCTTTGCCACTATAGACTTGCTTCGGGCACTGGAGCGCACCTGGTCTGCCAGGCGACACCAGCTTGTAGCCTACGCTGAACCCAAACGTGGGGGAGTGTTATGGACGGACAGGGCTGTCACCACCTGCCGCCTAACCCTCTATCGTGTGGAACAAGGCAAACGAAGGTAGCCTCTAGCCTAGACACCATGTCTACGCTATCGACTACTACTCTAGCATCGATCAGGGTTATCCGTCTCTATCAGAGCCCTTTACTAGAGTATTCGTCACAAGGACGAACGACGAACCCACAAGTAAATAATGAAAAAGACTAGCTTAAAGTAAAACTTACCACCAAAGATAAACATGAACCTTATACTCCAAGTAGTATTCAGATCGTAGAGGTACAAGTGGAGAGGAGCCGACGATTCCCGACATTACTTCCGCTAAGTGTACAATGGGCACCAAATACTCAAGTGGAGGTAGCCGACAACTGCGGTACTTCTCCACTCTTACTCAGTCACTCCCTACACTAGAACTATCTAGAGAACTAAGATATGAATGGAGCTCTTCTCTTCTTGTCACATTGTGGCTCTCTTGTGTTGTGTTGTGTTGTGGAAGCCCAAATGATGTGTGTTGTTGTTTAGAATGGGAGTTGTACCCCTCCTTTTATAGCACCCATAGGACGGTTTCGAGAACTATATTTAGACGAACCCCAGCGTGCACCGCCTATGTATGCCTCCATGCCACCGCCAGACGAAGGAGAGGCAGAGCGGCGTCCAAAAGGGAGTGGCCGCCCCCTAGGAGAGGCCGGCCCCCTACTAAAGCCTCTCACCACCGCCTTCGCATGGTGGACTACTGAGTGGATGTGGGCTGCTCCTTGGGTGGTCTTTTGCCAAGATGACTTGAGTTGATGGGCCTTTCCCTTTATTCTTTGCGCATGTCTGCTTTACGCTTCATCGGAAAGCGCTTTCTTGGTGTATTTCCATGTATTTGTGTTATTGTTTGTTTTGTTGTATTCCTTATCCACTTTAGGTACATTTCTTGCGCTATTCCGATATGTCCTCCTGCAATTGGTCAAACACCAAAACTTGTGGAAATTGTTAGTTCTAAAGCCCTATGTCTAAGTTTGGTGTTTATTTGAGCATATTTTATATGAAAGTTGGTGGTTAGAAATTGGGGTTAAGGACCGCCAACAAGCTCCCCCACGCTTAGCCCTTTGCTCGTCCTCGAGTAAAGCTTAGTGTTAAAGGTAATCATGAGCATAACATCCTAAGATATTTGGCTTACATGAAAGTTATTCCAACACATTCTTTATACAAGTGGGATTTGTGGTGTTGGCTAACTTGTTTCCTTGGGTTGTTGAAAAGTGGAACAGTTCTCGAAACAAAGTCATCTTCCCAATTTCACGTCTTAGCAACTTGGAGTTTTTGAATTTTTCTCAAGAAAATGCATAGTAAACTTTATACTCCTCAAATGGCACTCTCAAATCACTCAATGGTGTATAATTCTTTACCAAGGCATAGCAATGTTTTACCTTCTTTTGTTTTCTCCTACTTCTAAGAAGGTTTATGTGGAACTTTAGGTAGGGATAAACAATATAGCATACTTGAATTGCATATGTTGTAAAGTCAAATCGAGGATCCGAGGAGAGAGGTGTTATACTCTTAGATCAAGACGTGCATGTGTGTAGAAAAATAGTAAACTAAAACTATACTCCTTTTGTAGATATGATCTCTCTTATAACTTATTATTTTGAAAACATGGCTATCTTTCTTCCTTTCCCTTTTTTCAATACAAGAGCCTTCAAGTGCTCATCATTTTTTTTTTGTACTTAGACCTACATGTGTCTCTATTTTTTTTTGCATAGCCCATGTCTCTTCTTCTAAACCACATATTTAGAGAGAGATCATTATCTTTTTTGAACATGGACTATTTCCATAACACATATATATTATTTTTTTGGTCTACTCCCAGTGTAGGAGCAGAAATTTTTTTAAGGGATCTGGATGGAAGCATGTTTGTGCGTACTCCTAGTGTAGGAGCAGCAAGTATATGTGGGTGTACGTGATCTTGATCTTGGGAGCATGATAAATCTCTCAACAAGGATCAACAAGACTTGACCAAACTCAACACAATAACAAGCAGCTTATGTAGAAGGTTTGAAACTTGCAATATGTCATATTTAACTTTGGTAGGAATTGCTCACCAATTGAGGAGTATGTGATACTATGATTTTATATTTTATTAAAACAAATTCTCCAAGTACTTGAACAGAAATGGTAGGATTTCTAAGTCAGAACTATATCACACCTCACATCAACTTAGTCAACATGATTGTCCTATTAAAATATTTTCCCACAAGCATAAGTGTATGTATATGGAACAAACTTTATGCAAGCTTCTATCTTAAACATGCTATGAACATGTCACTTTTTAAAATTTTAAACGAAGTATGGTTGATAAAATTTTATAGGGGCAGTGTTGATCATGAGGAGATAGCAGGGATAAATTGAGTATAGTTTTTATGATCAAGATTGATGTTTGTTCAAACTCAAAATTGTAGGGAGT